ATATAATGGGCAGTCTTTGGAGTTTTTAAATCGCTACCGAATCCTACAATCTGATTGATTAAAAATCTGATTTGAACCAATCAAAAGGAAAAGACCTGTCATTCTCTTGCATATCAACCAATCCATTCGAGTGTTGAGCTCCCTGCTTTTTGACGAAACACGAGAAAGAAAAGCCGACATTGACAGAAAAACATTTTTGAAGAATTTCTGTATCTTTTTTAGCGTAAAAAAGCCGTGAAAAGTAAAAAAGACCAGCTGAACGCATTAAAATATGAAAGTATCCGTCGAAAGCAATCTTCTCAAGTAAGTTAAAAATATCTCGGCGAAAAACAGGTGTTTTGTATTTATCTAAAAAGATTACAAATTGGATATCAATTGGTAATCATTCGTATGTTTTTAGGCAACACTCCACTCAGTTCAATTGCCATTACTTTGCACTAAATAATGTTAGTTAGGAAGCACTGTTTGATGGATATAGTTCTTGCATCACGTACGCTAGCCCAACAAATTAAATAATAAATTAGATCTTATACATGCGTCTGTGTGAGGTGATGTGTTTTACTCACATCCAATTTGAAAAGAAAGTCCACGATTCAATTGTTGAAATATTGTTTCCTTCGATAGTCCTAATTGTAAAAATATAAATGAGCAGGCAATACCAACAATTAAAATAAATTAATGAATAAATGTACGAATTAATAAATTAATAAAAAGGTAATTAAATGATGATAAATGTTTAAAAAAAAGGAAGAAAGGAGAGAAGGAAAGAGAGAACAAACCAAATCAACGAGCGAACGAACCAACGAAACGCCGACGAACCAAACCATAGGACTATCTTGTACTTAAATTGTAACGCCACCTTAGATGTGGCATGTCACACCATACGACTATTATCTTGTACTTACATGGTAACGCCACCATACATGTGACATGTCACACCTTACGACTATTATCTTGTAATTACATGGTAACACTACTTTTAATGTGATATGTCACACCATAGGGCTATTATCCTGTACTTATATTGTAACATTACCATACATGTGACATGTCACACCATAGGGCTATTATCCTGTACTTATATTGTAACATTATCATACATGTGACATGTGACAACATAGGGCTATTATCTTGTACTTACATGGTAACACCACCATACATGTTACATGTCACCCATAGGACTATTATCCTGTACTTATATTGTAACACTACCTTACATATTACATGTCACCCATAGGACTATTATCCTGTACTTATATTGTAACACTACCTTACATATTACATGTCACCCATAGGACTATTATCTCGACTTACATTGAGATTACTAATCCAAATATTTCTTGCTTCAAAACTTCTATTGAGTTATTAAAGAGAATCCTGGAGAAAAAAGAAAGTTGTGTATTTCAAACGGCAAATGTCATTCCCTTAAGCAGTATTTTTCGTTGAGCAGCACCGCTAGCCTAAGGTGGCTCCCTAGAGTTTTCGGTAGTTTCAATCAACAGGACATAGTAATCGATGGCTAATGCGGACTCACACATTGATACCCAACAGGCCAACCATATTAAAGTTCCTGACATTTTGATAGTCTTTGAGTTATTTCAGAAAAACGATTACGCGTGCGAACGACATTTTCGTGACGTCATCATAATAAAAAATATTCAAGTTCTTTTCTGCGCATGCTCGTTACAACCTGTCGCGCGCGCGTACAAAAACTATAAGGAGCCACGTTAAGCAATCGAACTTTTGTTTTTGTGTCAAGCTCGTAAAGTTTGTAATGTTTTACTTTGGGTGGGGTTTGTTAGGTCTCTACTTTGATTCGATGTCTTTTTCTTCGGATTCTCCCGCGGTTTTCCTCCATCCACAAAACCTAACAAGAGAAATCCCAATTCGATCTTTCAAGTAGCAGTGCCCTTACAGCCTTTCTTCCCCTGATATATCAAGTGTTTCAGTGTTATAACGCAACGCGCAAAATTATGACCATATTTAATGTAATCGCATACTTCTATGCAAGGGCGTTTTGTTGTCAAACGAACGTTTACACGCCTTATTTTGTAAAACCAGTCAGGTTCGTATCGAAATGTGTCGGTTTAATATACAAAAGCCTGTGCATAGATGAATACGTTAAATGTGTTCATACTTTGGCGCGTAGCGTTGTAAGTTTTCGGAAAAGACTCGACGTACTTACACTTCGTCGCATCTACCAACACCCACAAAAGCATGTTTCCTCAGGCGAGTAATGTTGTTGTTTTGAATATCTCTGAGTGAGATGAAAAATATATAGAGGATATTACATGGGCGCGCGGAGATACGAAATTTATCTTCGAGTGTTGAAAAGATCTCTCACAAGTGAGCGCAGCGAACGAGTGAGAGATTTTCAACACGAGAAGATAAATTTCGTATCTCCAAGCGCCCATGTAATATTCTGTTTATTATATAATTATCAATGAAGTATGTTTTGACTTTTTCAGGCAATTCTTTCCGTGTATTTTT